GGGGGGGGGGACCCTGCTGTACATCTGTAACCCTCAGTGCATCTCCACGCTCTCTCACGCTAACACAGGGACACAAGTGACCGCTGTTCTTTGCAAGAGTATGAATCTGATTCCCAGAGAAACTAAGACATCGTTTCCAATAAAGTTAGAGCTTGAAGGGATCTTACAGAGAAGGCAACGGTCCAACCCTTCCTTTACAGAGGGGGGAAGCGAAGCCACCCACAAGGGTTGGCACGACAAGAGCAAGAGTTTTCTGACCTCCAAACCAGTGCCTTATGGTACAGACAGGGAAACTGAGTCTGTGTCAGCAGCAAAGACCCTGCTCTGACAAGCCTCCCATGGTGACACAGAGGTTTGGAGACAGAGCCTGGGGCAGTCCAAGAAGTACTTTCCTTTGTCTTTGCCCAAATATCTGTGATTTTCTTTTAGCTAATTTCCCTTCCTTATTGTCTGTCTGGGTTGATGTCCCAGTGAGTCAACATTTCCTCAACACGCAGAGGCCCAGAGAAGGGGCAGGCTTCCAGCTGGAAGGTGGTGGGTCTGCTGGTGGCAAGCCCTGGAGTGCAGAGGGAGGGATGCGAGCACCCAGCGTATCCCAGGAACAACACTTGCAAGATGTGCCCAGGGATGGGGGAGGGAGTCCCTGGCTCATGGCTGCACATTGAAGCAGCACCGCACACACTTGGCTCAAAGAGGTGGGACACAGGTTCATTCATTCATTCATTGATTCATTCTTCTATTATGTACTCAGTGCCCCCATGTGCATAGCTAGACTTGGGTTTAGGGGAAAGGGAGAACATAAAACCATTACCAGGCAGGCCCCTCCTTCGAGGATCCCATCACCTGGGCTGCACAGACAGACCAGCTTCCTCAGCAAATTGCTGCTGGCCACCTGGGCTCAGCCTCCACTCAGGTGGTGAAGCTCAGCCCCTCTGCCTGGGGTAGGCAGGGTGGGAGATGTGGGAGGATCAGGCGCTCTGGCGGCACAGAGGCAGGAGAACCTTTCCTTATGGACACAGGCTCTGCAACTACAGGGCTTGGTTTTAAATCCTGGTTCTGCCTTTCACTAGCCGAGAGGCTGGCTCTGTGTCCTCAAAACAGGAATAGTGACATATGAGAACTCAATAGTGAATCTCAAGCTTTATCTGAGTGCCTGGCTCAGTACACGGGCAAGTACTCTTGACACCGTAGTTAGAAATGAAGGGAAGGTCTTATTCCAACCTAACAGCCAACCTACTGCACTGTGGCCATTGGCTGCAGTGTGCTGGGTGGCTCGGCATATGGGCTCTGGAGCCAGACTGCATGGGTTCAAGTCCTGCCTCCACCACTTGTTAGCTGTGTGACCTTGGACGGGTTAATTGCCTCATTCTTTCTGTCTGTTAAATGGGACAACAGTAGTCTACCACATGGAGAGTTTATTTTAAAGTGCTTAGAACAGTACTTGGCACATAGTTCTTGTTAAGAGTTCTTTTATAGTTTCACTAACAAAATAATTACAATATTATTGTTTGAGCCACTCTCACGTCCCTGAAAAAGTGAGCTCTTTAAATGTGAGAGCCATTCATTATGAATTGTGTCCACCCTCATCCTCAATTCTTACTTATAGAATTTTATAGGTTTTAAGATTATGTGTGTCAAATAATGGAAGACTTCTTGGAGGAGGTGGCATTTAGGCTGTTTTTTGGAGGACTGGTGGGATTTGAGGATGCAGAGGGAGAGGGGAGGGGTGTTAGGAAGAGATGCCACTGTGGGCACGTGTGCTGCTTGAGATGATGATTGACACGCACGAGAGGAGTTTAATTCACCACACAAGAGGTAACTAATGAAACTGAATTACAAGGGCTGCTTCAGGCAGAGTGTGTTGAGCTGGCGAGGGGTCCAGGCATGAGGCTGATGAGAGTATTAGGGAGAAGATGACACCCTTGGCCTTGGCTGTTCCCATGATGGTGTTCTCAGCGTGAAGAGCCTCGGGCGGAGGCAGCGCAGGGGCTGGAGAGACAGGCAGGGGCAGCCGGGGTGCACTGGGTGGGGCAGCGGCCTGGCCCCAGCTGGGAGAATGGGGAGGAGGGTGGCTGCCTGCTCCAGCTCTGCTGGGACAGATAAACTTTGGAGAATGGCCTCCCTGAGTCATGGTCAAGAGGGAGGTGACCAAACCAGACCACCTCTTGAGGTCCTTCCCAGCTCTGCTTCCTACAGCTAGTGTGGCTGCTTCCTCCCTGTCCAGGTGATGGTGTGGATCCACGGAGGTGGTCTCATAATGGGCGGAGCATCCACCTATGATGGGACGGTCCTCTCTGCCCATGAAAACGTGGTGGTGGTGACCATTCAGTACCGCCTGGGCATCTGGGGATTCTTCAGGTAAGATATTGGGCTCCTCGCTGCACATGGCCCTCAAACTGAGGGTGCTAGGACCCAGTTCTGGTCATGTCATGTCAGCCCTTAAGGAGATCTTTGCTAAGTTCCCTAGTAAGGCATCCAAATCCCTTCATAATTGGTTTCCATCTACCATCTCATTTCCCAGCCTCACTGCTCCACTTGCTTCTGAGCTCTTGCATGTGCTGTTTCCTCTGCCTGGAATCCCTATTCTACCTGACAAACTCCTATTCAGCCTATAAGGCCCAACTCAAATGTTACCTCCTCTGAAATACACATCTCCTTTTTACCTGTGCTGCCACAGCACATTGCACACCTCTGAAATGACAATTAACAGGACATCCGTTAGAGCAGCAGTTTAAACATCTTACCTCTCATGGGAAAGTAAGGAAGGGACAGACTCAGGGCTGGAGCTGGGAGGTTGTCAGAGCATCTAACTCCAGTAGACAACCTTCCCAGGAGGAATGTCGGGTTCACTCACCCCATTTCCTTCCGCGTTTGGCACATGCCTGGGTCAAGGCTAGCATCTTCTCCATCCAGTCCCTGTGGAGAGAGGAACCAAGTTTCCTTAGGACACAGTTACTGGTATATTTTCTAAATGCACTGGCCTCAGGACCTCGGACCCTGAGATGCTGCTAGGCTGGCTAGAGGTGGGGTGGACACTCACTGGAAAGATCTGTCCGCCTGGAGGAGGGTTGTAGGTGAGTCATGTCCCTGGATGCATTGCTTTCATTGAGATTCTTCATCTCTCTCACCCCCCGACCCGTTTTCCTGCACCCCTTTGCATTAAAACTGCCCCATCAGCTCTCCACGCTTTCTGTCCTTCCAGTCTCTCCTCTCCCCACACCAGTCAGGTTTCTACTCCGACCATGCCACTGGACTGTTCTGGTTGAGGTCACCAATGACCCACCCGGTCTTGACCCAACCTTGGCAGCATCCACACATGATCCCTCCCACCTGTTTGAAATACTTCCTTCTCTTGCCTGCATGTTCTATACTCACACTTTTGTTCCCTGGGCCCCGGGGCCTTTGCACTTCCTGTTTCTGTTGCCTGGAATTCCTTTCTTTAGATTTTTGCAGGGCTCTTGTGCTCATTCATTCAAATCTATGCTCAGATGCTGCTGCCTCAAAGAGGCCTTCCCTGGACATATAAGCTGAAATAAGACCCCACTGCCCCATCCCTGCCTTTTCCCTTATGCTGTTTTACTTTTTCCTGAAAGCATTTTCACTACCTGGTGTTACAGTCTATATTTATCTATTCCTTTATGATCTTTACTGTGAGCTCTGTGTAAAGATTTTGCCTGTTTCGTTTCTCAGATGTGCTCCTGGCTCTCAGAACAGTGTTTAGCACATGGCAGTTGCTCAATAAGTAGATGCCAGGTGAATGAATGTAGAGCCCTAAATGAAACAATGCCACAGGAATGGAAGACAGTGAAAATCTCCGAGGCAGGGCTGTGGAAGGCTCACCCAGAGCCCCCAGCCCAATCTGTGGTCTTGAGAACCCTGCCATGATGACTCTACCCCCCCTCACCTCCCCCCCCGTTTTTTTACTCACAGCACAGGGGATGAACACAGCCCGGGCAACTGGGGTCACTTTGACCAGCTGGCCGCACTGCGCTGGGTCCAGGAGAACATTGCCAACTTTGGAGGGAACCCAGGCTCTGTGACCATCTTTGGAGAGTCAGCAGGAGGTGAAAGTGTCTCTGTTCTTGTAAGTGTTCCTGGCCCTGATGTGGCTGCTGATGGGGCCCTTGGAAGACCAGCCGTTCTAGCGATGGGCACCTTTATTAGCAAGACTTGGATTCAAGGCTGGCCCTACTCTGCGCAGAATCAGATGGTGGAGAGCTAATGACTAAACTCTCCTTGGCCCCCAGGAAGCTCAGGGTTCAGTTAGATTCCTGGGGCCGTAATAATCTCCAGCCCCAGCCGGCAACATTCCTCCTCCTCTAACTTGGCTGAGCTCTCTCCTTCCTAATCATTTTACCCTGGGGCTCGCCTCACTTGTCTGGGGGAGCAGGGTGGGCAAATTACGAGGAGGAGGCAAGGGTGAGAGTTGGGCAGAGTGTCATTGTTCAGCTTAAAGCCAGATCTGCGTGTCCAGAGGACACGAGCACTAAGAACAGGGCAGGGGGCCTCCTCTGATGGCTCGTCCACACCCCCGAAAGGGGACAGCAGTCTCTGAGAAAGAGGGGGGCTGGGCTGGGGAAGCAGATGAGCAGGACTTGGGGGGAGATGGGAAGGTGGGATGGAAGTGGGGACCGGGCAGGGGACATGCGCAGACACACCTGCAAGCCTGGTGTGGGGGATGGGGCCAGAGGAGACCGAGGGAGGCAAAGATGGGGAACCCGGTTAGCAGGTGCTGGGAGCTGCTGGGGCCCCTCCAGCTGCCTCACAGCTGAGCAGCGGGTCAGCTGTGTTACTATATTTTTAAAACATAGTATTTGCTTTCATAGTCAAATACTCAGAAGAAATTTTTATATTTTGTAAAGAGGAAAAGGAAACGTACAGATAAGCCTAAAGAAGAAAAGGAAACCCCACATGACTACGTCACCCAGGGATGGTCACCACGGACATTTTGACACGTTTCTAGTCTTTTTTCCTTGGCTCACCCTACTATGGATCCATCTGTCAATCATTTATTTGTGATTTTTTAAAAAATATATTTTTATTGATTTCAGAGAGAGGAAGGGAGAGGGAGAGAGAAACATCAATGATGAGAGTCATCAATGGACTGCCTCCTGCACGCCCCAACTGGGGATCGAGCCCGCAACCCGGGCATGTGCCCTGATCGAACCGCGATCTCCTGGATCCTAGGTCAATGCTCAATCACTGAGCCACACCCAGCGGGGCTATTAGTGATTTTTAAAACAAAAACCTTCCTTAACATTATAATAGAACATAAATATGTCCCTAACCATTAAGTACTCTGCCATAATTTTATTTTTTATAGTTGCATAGTAGCCCATGGTGAGAATGAAAAATAACTTATTCACCCAACGTCATCATTTTGGAACCCTGGGTACTCTCCCAGTTTCCCAGTATAAACAGCATGAGCACGCCCACGGGGCATGGCGTGCCTCCATGATCTTTGTTTTTCTTTTTTCAATCCTCACCCGAGGATATTTTTCCCATTGCTTTTCAGAGAGAGTGGAAGGGGGGGAGAGAGAAACATCAATGTGAGAGACACATCAATTGGTTGCCTCCCATGCGCACCCTGATCAGGGCTTGGGATCGAGCCTGTAACCAAGGTACATGTGCTTGGCTGGAATCGAACCCGGGACCCTTCAGTCCACACGCCAATGCTCTAACCACTGAGCCAAACCAGCCGGGGCCATGATTGCTTTTCTTAGGGCGAATTCTTAGGAATGGAAATGGAGATGCAGAACTCTATCTTTAAAGTGTTACTAGGAATTGCCAAACTCTCTTTCAGATACTTTTGATTGTTACAATCAGCGCTTGCCTCACACTCTGCATCCTCAGCTTTCACCGGCTGAGGTTTTCTTGGAGAAGCCAGGCCTCGGGGTCAGCCTGGGGAACAGGCCAGGCCAGGCGAGGACCTGTCAAGTCCACTGAGCCCAGGGCCTCCAGGGGAATGGGCCAGGGCAGAGGTAGGGAAGCTCGTGAAGACCCCCTCCCCATGAGCCTAAACTCTCTTCCTCTCCACGCCCCTCCCAGGTGTTAACTCCCCTGGCCAAGAACCTCTTCCACCGTGCCATCTCTGAGAGTGGCGTGACCCTCACTTCTGCCCTGGTCAAGAAAGACACGAAGGCCTTAGCTCAGGTAGGTCACACTGGAGAGCCCTCACCCCCTTTGCTCTGCTCTCCTGGGGTCCTCAGGGGCCTCCACTCCATGGCATCCAGGAGACACCGGGAATCACAGGAGAAAGGCCGAGCAGAGGAGCAGGGAGCCAACTCGCTCTCCCTCCCAGTGGCACTGCAGGGCAAACTGGGTCAGAGAGCAGAGCAGCTTGCCAAGTGACCAGCAGGTGACCAGGGCAGAGCTCTGACTCAAGCTCAGAACTCTGGACTGCCAACACGGTCACTGTCCACTGACCACACTCCCCAGAGTGGGCCGAGATGGGGTGCCGGGCCAGAGCGTGGGAAGTGGACTGCCGTGAAGCCTCATGTCCCCAAGGCCTGAGTTCTGGTCACCTTACCCTTGCAGCATGTGGGCCTGGAGAGGTTTCTCCCTGGGGGCCTTGTGACTGGGGTGGGTTCCTGGAGAATTTATTCATTGATCCATTTGTTCCCTCAACAAATAATTTTTATATAGTCAGACATCTAGCAGCCTCGTGAGGCGTCCATTCTAATGGAGGCCACGGATTAGTGATTAAGTAATCATCCAATTATAGAATGTCAGCTGTGACAAGAGCAATAAGGAGAGGTACTTAATTTCAGGAGAGAATTCAAAAGGAGCACTTAGTCCAGGGTGTAGGGGGATGTTATCAGGAAAGGATTTCTGAAGAAAGTGATCGATAAGGTGAGATCGTAAGGATGAGCAGGAATTTACTTGGTGAGAAATGAATGTTCTAGGAAGCAGGGACATGTGTAAATGTCCTGTGGCAGGAGGAAGTATCTTGAGTGAGAGAGAGTAAGGCTGATGTGGCCAGAGCAAAAAGAGCAGAGGGAACCTGGAGTGAGCTGAGGATGGGGACATTGGCAGGGGCCATGCTGCACAGGACCCTGGTGAGGACTTTGTCTTTATCTGGAGACTCTTAGGAATCCAAGGAAGGGAGAGCAACAAAGGGGTCTGTGGATGAGTGCCCGCTGGAGCTGGGGATGGGAGCATTGTAGTTGGGCTGTGAGAGTGGCTTCATGGTGTG